AACAGTGTAACACCAAGTTTGAAGCCGAATAGTGTTTCTATTTGTATACAAAATATATTTAGATGAATTACTGCACTCCTCTTACATCTTTTTTTCCTCCTCTTATTTTTCACTAAAGTTTTTCTTCTAATTATACTTGCAGGTTGAATATCATCAATCGATGCTTCTCACGAAGAACAATAGAAGAGATTCTAGCAGCCCTTGTAAGGACATTCGAAGGGATTATATTGATTTTTCCATGTCCTTGTCTGAAAGTTTTATATGTTCAAAGCTCTTAATATTTTTTCTTTTTCGCTTTACATTTTCAGGAGAGGGAGTTTGCTGAGACGAAGGATGATTGGATCATGTCCACAATACTTTCTTTAAAAAAAGCATCTCCAATGAGCCTTAAAATTTCTCTTCGATCTGTAAGCATTAATTTAATGTTAATTTTGATTTATTTTCGCCTGAGTTGTATATTCATGCACATTTTGCATGCTGCTTGTAATGCTCGTGAACCGTATAAATGGCCAGATTAGAGAAGGGAGGCTCCAGGGCATAGGTAAATGCCTGATTCGAGAATTTAGAATGCTTTCTCACGCAATGCACGGAGAAATTTGCAAGGATTTTGCAGAGGTATCAATAGCTAACATATAAAAAATCGAACTTATTTTCCCTATCTCTATTCGCTCGTTCGTAAAAGTTTTAAAGTATATTCTGTTTTCAGGGTTGCAGAGCTATACTGCTGGACAAGGACCGAAACCCGAAGGTAGTAAAAATCTTTAGGATTAGTGTTAGTGATTTAAAGATTTTGTGATTTTCATTTTTGTTCATTTTTACAGTGGGAACCCTCCAAAATTGAGTCGATCAGTGACGAGATGGTTGACCGTTACTTCTCGAAGATGGACAACGATGATGATGACTGGGAAGATTTGAAACTACCCGTGATCAGGTCAGATTCACCGTCGAATGTCATTGCCAAACTGTAAAATTTCATCCTCGGCCACTGTAATTTGCAATTTCCTTTACAGTAAGAATAACTCAAGAAATTAGATGTGTAGCAATTCTAAAGTTTTATGAGACTTTGCCCATTGTGTCTCTACTTTTTCAATATGAGCAAAATATTTTTTCCAACTCTTTTGACTTGTGTTCAACAGCTAGTGACAGTGAACAACTACAGGGTGTGAATCTGTAAATACTGGAAAAAATTCTTCTAAATTTCAATAATATTATTATGTTAGTGGTTGACAATAAAACTAAAAGGATCTAAGTTGAAAATCCAAGATTCGTTGGTAGTTAAACTAAATATTTGAAGCCTGTCAGCTATAAATAATTAACTATATTTTATTTCCCGTGTCTTTTCTACTATTGATTTTCATGAATAAAGTGGAGAAAGTAGAATAAACTAACGGTAATGCTTACGGAATCATTTCGTCGGGATTATAACTGTTAAATCATCATGTAACCGTCGTGGATAGTTGATCTAACAGTTACAAATTCCGACGGAATGGTTTCGTAACGGTACTGTACAATTACGGTTACAAACTCCGACGGAATGGTTCCGTAACGGAAATGTAGAATCTCCTCTAAACTAACATGAGCAGATGAACTGATTGGCTCATCAACCAAATTAGACTCGTAATATTGTGGTAAACAATTTCGGTTGCTTTTATATTTTTTGTCATCAATTTGTCTCCCCTTTAACAACCCAAACAAATTTAAAATAATGCAATAAAATCTTGAATTAGATATATGAAACGAATCTGCTAGCAATCCTTGACTGGTTCCACCATCAAAATTGAGCAAAATAGGTCAGCAAGATTTATTAAATTATGTAGGTCTAAAAACAGTTCTCATATCTTGAATATATGTACAGCAATGTAATCAGTGTTTATTAGATAGATGTTAATCATGTAATTATTGAAATAAATAATATTCACCTTATTGAATATGCTAATCATGTATTTATACAAATAATAATAATTGAACATATAACAATTGTTTCCAATATTATAAAAATTTTGACTGTAGATTGGTCATATATATATACTTGAACATATAAAAAAGTTTATAATAAAAAGCAATAAAGTCAAATCTTAATACATATGCATGCATATTATAATAAAATAAATGCGTTTTGCATTATTATCTGACCTTTTCCTCCATATATGTCGCGAAATCACCTTCTCGGCACTTTCCTTCGTCTCATTCTCACTAAACAACATTTTATTATCGATATATATATATATATATATATTTTCATTTCTTACTGTTAGGGTTTTCTGCTTGATCAGTTTAATATCAAAGAAACTGATCGATGATATATACCGGTGATTAACTAGAGGTGTAAACAAGCCAGACCAAGCTTTAGCTTCTGATACTCGAAGTCGGGCCCAATCGAGTTCGACTCACATATTAATAATTAATAAGCCAACCAGTCGAAAGCTATATAATTTTTTTTTTTCGAACCTTAACGAGTTGAGTTGTTTTCGGCTCAATAACCAAACTAACTTTAAGCAAATTCAATCAAGCTTGAGCCATAACGAACCAAGATAACCCAAACTCAAACTTCATCAATCTTGCTCCATAAAATAAAATTAAATCCAAGTATAATTAATATCATCACAAAACATATTACAAATTAATCACCTTTTAAAAAAAAAAAAATGAAAAAAAACAATATCACATTATCAAGAATCATTCCCTAACCCCAGATAACCCCTTAACTCCACCGCCGGAAAACAAGGGTACCGACGCCAAGCTCCGGCGTGCATCCTCAGTATCCTCACCACCCTTTCCTTCGTTCTCCCACCTCTACCTCCGGCCGCCTGCAGCAAGGCCAGCATTTTTTGAACCGCCCCGCAGACGAGCATCTCTTCCAAAACGCGCTCCGTCGGGTGGAAACTCGAGACAAGCAACAGTATCTTAACCGCGACCCGTGTGGCCCCATGCGACACGTCACCCATTTTCTTGCACACTGCTGCTAATCCCAAGCCGTGCTCGATCAGCGCCAGTCGCCCGTCTGCACACTCACACATCAGCTTTATCAGCTCTAGGATCTTTTTGCATCTCGACCGGCTCGACTCGGGCAAGAGCTCGACTAACGAACACATGGCCCCGGCCTCAATGGCTTTTAATCTACAATCATTTCCAAAAAAATAATAATAATAATAATAATAATAATAATAATAATAATAATAATAATAATAATAATAATAATAATAATAATAATAATAATAATAATAGTAAATTCACTAGTGTTTCGAAACAATACATCGTTTTTGTACATTATATTATGAGTGCGCAGTTATCCAAATTTATGAGTCAAATGTTTCGTATCCAACCTGGATTTCTTGGAATCCTGTAGGATGCGAACGAGAAGTTGCAAAGCACACGAGCTGGCTCGACTACAAACCTCGTCCGAAGCCATCTCTAACAACGACTTAAAAAAATCGACATCGATATCGCCTTGTTGGCGAGCTAAATGTGCCCCCCTCGGCCCGTTATTATCATCCGACCACATCCTCAAAAGTATCGAAATCGCCCAAAACCTCGATTCCGAACTACCCCTCCTCAATACCACCGCCAACCCGCCCATACAGTCGGCACTCGCCACGTCATCTCCGCCACCCACATCATCGAATGGGATGACGTGGAGCACCCCAAGTGCCTCCTCGCAAGCCCTTAGAGTCGAAAAATCGCAACCCTCGAACGCCAGCCCGATTATCCCGGCAAGAATCCTGACACCGCCCGACCGCACGAACTCATGCGCGATGATATCATCACCGCCGCCTGATGATGACGACACGAGTGCTGACCTAAGCTTCCGAAGCCAGCTCACCCTGAATGGGCACGAGCGGAGCCCATCGAGGATTTGGGCCAGCTCGGGGCTCGAAGAGGATGCGCGCGTGGCGAGCCACGTGTCGATGAGGCAGCGGAGGGTGTGGTTGGGGGTGGTTTCAGGGGTTTGGACGGGCAGCATTGTGGCTGGGCAAGTTTTCTTACGGTAATCGTGGAACCACTTCTCGATGTTTTTACGGTCGTATGTTACGCCGGTCGAGATCGTGACAGGGTCCCGCATGAGCTCCATCGAGATTGGGCATCGGAAGTGATCCGGCGGCGTGTCGACTTGAGTTTGAGTTTCCATTTATGGAAAGTGTTTTTTTTTTTT